ATTTACAGAGGACGAATGTGAGGCTTCTGGTGTTAAGTGATATGCTCGTATAATCAGTAATTAGAGGACCTGAGAGTGAAAAGGCACCCAGGGTTTAGGATTCTCAATCTAAGGCTGACTCCAGCTCTTCATGCTCTGTAGAATGTAATGTATGTAGAAGTAGTGTTTGCAACATTGCAACATTTTTATGTCAAAATAACATCCAACATAGTTCTCGTACCTATTAGGTTAACCATCAACATATACTGATTTGAAAAGATAATAGTTACATATTTGATGAGAGTGGACACTAAAATTCTTAATCATTAATGTATAATTTCAAATCATAGGCCCTTTCATTTCTATTTAAGTTTTGTTTTTTGCCCCTTGATTTCTTACCAAATAATTTCTCTTGGAATCAGAAGTCTAATATATTTATTTATTCCAAGTCCTTATAGTAAAGATATCAGTGTGAACTTCTTGGAACTTATATTTCTTATCTTTTTATTAGCTACAGAGAGAGATGTCTTCCTGTTTATGTAATTCTGGAGTTATATAGATTAATACAGAGGGTGCCAAAAAATGTACACACATTTTAAGAACGGAAAAAACTGTATGAAAATTGTAATACAATGAATGATGCTAGCATTTGTGTGATTAATGCCATCTTTTGAGTGAACGTCATACTACACATTGCTACGTAATTCAGTTCAACTTCAAAAAGTAATTATAGTAGATAACATCTCTGAAAATGTGTACATTTTTTTGGCACCCCTGGTATAGTAGCAAAGTAAGATTATTTTTCTTTCTTTTCTAGAAGTTAACTTTAAGTAATCTGGCTTGTGTTCTTAGACATATAGAGGACATGTTCCAAATTATGTATTTGTATGCCAGAATTCTAAGTGTATGAACAAATAGATAGAAACAAAGAATTTAATGTAGTCATTAAGCAGAAAGCTAGAAGAAATAGGAGAGCGTAATAGACGGGGATCTTAGGAAGAGGCTTATATAGCAATTAGAGAAAATTGTGATAAGTCTTAGACCTTCTTTTTAATGTGGCATGGAATGAAGGCATCGTCAAAAGGCCCCTCTCCCTTTGCCTTCTGGGATTGTGGAGGAGCAGTGCCATGAGGCAGTCCTATTTCTGTAGCCCTGTGTCTTATGGAGATTTGCCAGGCAGTGATGCACTGGGTTCAGCTGAGGATGTGTACTCTGAGCCCATGTCACTGGGACATGTGTATTTCTAGAATATGCCAAAAACTTGGTAGTGACCCTATAATTTTCATTTTTAGGTGCTCAGATGTCTTAATTAGTGTTATGGTATAATCATATTTAAAGTTTTATTAACTACCAAGTAGATAATATAGATAATTAAAACTTAAGTAAGGCATAAGGAATCACAAGACAGTAGCATCTGTGTATTCAGATTTTAAGGTAAAGGATGTTACTGATACCTTTCAAGTCTCCGTGAGCTAGCTTCTCCCTCCCCTGTCAGAGTTCCTCACTGTCCTGAATTTGGGGTTTACCCTTCCCCTGTCTTTCTTTATACTTTTAGTACATACATTTGTACTAAAAGTGCTAAGAGTGCCCTGTATTGCTGGGAATCATACTGCATGTGTTCTCTGAATGCACGTTTTCGTTTCCCATGACTGTCCACAGACTCGTCGTTGTTATTGCACATAGCTGCAGTGTCCCATCGTGTGAATGTATAGTAATTCACGTACTTGCTCTGATACTGGACATTTGGGCTGTTCCCAGGTGTACAAGCAATTCTGATAAGAACGTTTACATGTAATATTAACCTTTAACAGTACAGGTTAGAAAGAGGAAGTGTTGGATTTCAGAGGAAGTCAGGCTTATTTGCATATGATAGAATAAGACATATTTCTTCCCATTCCTAAAGGGAAATGTCCGCAAATAGGAGAGCTAAGCACAGTGTGGACATTCTGGTCTTTATCTGCATTTCTGCCAGCTGTTTTCTGCATGTGAAGTAGTGTAAGCTAGGCTGGTGACCACTAGGACAGAGGTTGACGATGCTGTGTAACCCTATAAAGTCTCTTTTTAAACAGCCAGTTTAGAAGCCTGGAGACGCATTTTCACTCAGCCTGGAAGCTGTCCCTGAGTCCCTAATTTGAAGCATGGCACTGTGCCGTGATGCGCTCATGGAGGAGGGGTCCAGGACAGACTCAGGGGTATCCTTGGGGAGGTTGACAGAGCCTGTTACAAGTGTACTAGCAGCTGCAGTGAGCCGGATCTAAAGACTTGCAGAGCAGAGGCACCCTTTCTGTGAGATGTGGGCTGGCCACAGATGGCGCAGCCGGCTTGAGCAGTCACACTCTGACCATTTAGGAGCCGTCAGAATACTGAGTGGCAGGACCAGGGCAGTGGCAGGAAACATGGATGCAGCCTGTGCCCCAGCTTTGGAGTAAGTCTCTGAACACAGCTCCGCTGAGCTGGCTGTGTGCACAGCAGACAGTGTAGGACTCCCAGCAGCGCATAGTGAGCACTGAGGTGGGGGAGCACACGCCGGGGGGCACAGGACCCACTGCCCCTCACTCCTGAGTACCCAGGCCGGGCTGGGAAGCTGGCCGACAGTGCCTGGGCGGGCCGGGGCTGGGCCTGCTGGTAGGCACAGCTTCAGGCTGGCAGTGCCTTGGGGAGCAGGACCACAAACATGACAATAGCAGGCGCAGCCGCTGACAGAGGGCATGCTCGATGTGTCTTCTGTGTGGAAGGGATTGTCGTGTCTTTGGCTGTACCTGTGAATCGGATTCAGGCAAGACGTACATATGCAAATACATATAAATAATCCACACCTTCATCAAAACAAAACAAAAGTTCAGCCTAGAAATGGTGGTTGCACTGAAATACTCAGAATAGAGCAATGTAACGTTTTAGTTTTTTATTCTTCACCAGTCTCTTCACATTTTTATTTTATTGGTGGAATGCTTAAAAGACTAATAATGCACTAGAACCAATAATATAATAATGCCTTTCAATTGAAAGTGCCTTATAACCAGTTTACACCATTTTCTAGTTCCTTCTCTGTGGATTTCTTTCACAAAATTGCTTATTCATCTTGGTCTTCTCTGAGGGCCTGGCATAGTAGACTGTATGCTTCCTAATGGGTGTTCAGTCTATAACTGCTTAACAGGACTGAACTCCAAGGGTTCAGATGTCAGTGTAGGAGCCTAATAGATAGACATGCAGTTTCCACCAGCCTTTGTTGTAGCAGGTTCACATCGTGGTCTAATTCCAACAAGCTGAAGATGCTACATTAGACCTGCAATATGTTGTCTTTTTTTTTTTTAACATTTTTTTTACTTCGAGTTTGCAGCCTTCCTGGCTTTTCATCCATTTTCTGTTTTGCTGGGTTTGTTGAGTTATATATTGTACATGTGCCATTTTTTTCTGAAGCTTCATGATGAGTTAGATTAATTAAAAGCAACCTGGAAAGGAGATAATAATAGATATGCATATTGGTGAAAAAGGAATACACATATGGGATATGAAGGGCAATGTAAGTACAGGCAAGTGCAGAAAGAGAAAAGGTAGGGAAACAGAGGCAGAGACAGTTCAGGGAAGAACTGAGAAATTATGCACAAGGTGATAGAGTCCCACCAACACCCAGAGAGTCAAATACTGTGCTGAGTAACCTCAACATTTTGCTATTTGAAGAACACATGTTTCACGTTACATGAAACAAAATATGCCATTTTGGGTGTATGGTTATTACATTGATATAGTTACCAAAATTCTTTTTTTCATTTGAGGTATAATTGACATACAACATTATATTAGTTTCAGGTATACAACAGAATGATTCAATATTTTGTATATATTGCGGGCGGCCGAGTGGCTCGTTGGTTAAGCGTTGGCTTGGGAGCGCGAGCCCTGAGCAGCAGGGCCATCGGTTCAGATCCCACATGAAGGCCAGTGACACTTCGCCCTCTATAGCTAAGATGGTGAACAACGGCTCGACCTGGAGTTGGGCTGCCATGAGTTGCCGGTGAAGGTATAGGCTGCAGTGAAGCTGCAGTGGGCTGCCATAAGCTACCATGAGTGGCTGGCAGCCGGCGGGAGTGGCCGGCAGCCGGCGTGAGCTGCCGTGAGCCACCATGAGCGGCCGTCCAATGGCCGGTGACTGATCTGCCTCATCCGGGAAGAGCTCAATGATAATACCAACATGGGCCAGTGAAGCAACATCCTCCACAACTAGACTGAAGAACAAAAGGACAGCAACTTGTCTGTACCCCTTCTCCAATTCCCCAACCCTATTCCCTCCCCCAATTCCCCAATAAAATCTTTAAAAAAATGTATGTATTTTGTATATATTGCAAATTGACCACCACAATAGGTCTAGTTAACGTCTGTCATCATACAGTTCTCAAAAAGTTTAATTCATATTTGGGGGCCTATATAATCTGAAAGCTCCTGTGATTTTTGACAACGCTCAAAGCATAACTAATATTTTTACACAGAAATTACTTTGTTTATAAGATTTCATTGTTAAGTCCTGCCATTTTTAATTTGATGAATGAAATATTGGATTTTCCAATACAGAAGCAGAGAAAACCATTTTGGTTGTAAAAAATAAATTAGTAAGCTGTGCCAATAGACATACTCGTATTTTCAATTCTTGTTCTTTCAGCTTTTAATGTTTTTTTTTTTTTAAGTTACTCTTGGTTTAAGACAGTAATGAGTAATGTCATTGACTTTCCATTACACAGTTAAGATTATTAGATGGGAATAGTCTGTATTGCCCTCTGTTGGTGATTAATAGTTATTTTTAACAAAATAATTGCTGCTATATGTGTCTTTTATATGTATTTAATAATTGTGTCAACCAGTATATTTTATAGAAAAGCACTTTTAAAAACTGACCTAATAGTTGTGGCCATGAATTGGCAAAAGGGGAAAATGGAGATTTTGGCCTTCCTGACTTAATAGTTTTATTGACAAAGGTAGTAGGGAAATACTTTTGCCTTTGATTAATTTTTCTTTTTCGTTTTCCTTGTCAGAGCTCCACCTCAGATAAGGCGTCCCAATCGAGACGTAAGACCTCTGAGGAAAGAAATGCCTGGAGCAGGAGCCCGGGGACCTGTAGGCCGAGCACATCCCATATCTAAGAGTGAGAAACCCTCCACAAGTAGAGACAAGGATTACAGAGCACGAGGGAGAGATGAGAAGGCAAGGCTCTCTTTGTAACTCACTCACTGGAAGCCCATGACTTTTGGTGCATAGTCTAATTTTTGTTGCCTTTTCAGAGTACCTTGGTTTTGATATAGAAGAGATTTTTTTAAAGCCTGAATTAAAAACCTAAGTGGTCTTTGTACTTTGAAGGCCATTCTGCAATGCTAGTAACCTCAGAGGTATATTGAAACACACACACACACACACACACACACACACACACACACACACACACACATATTTAGTAAAATGGATCTTTTTTTGTAGAAATATTCAAAGTGATGTTTTAAAACTTAGAAAAATATATATTTAACAGTCATTCTGAATTAAAATGAACAGTAAATGAAAATGTAGGGGAAAGACTTATAAGGAAGTAGATGTATATAGTCACAAAATAAGATGATAGATATGATTTACTACTGCTAAAAACAAATCTTCAATTTAACTGTAAATTTTAGAGTAGAACAAGATTTCTTTTCCTTAAGGAGCAAACTCCCCTTGTTTAGGGTTCACTATATACATTTACTTTACCTGGGAAATTGATCAGTGAATAAACATAGTACTGGGTGGAAATTCTGAACTGCCCTTAAGATGGACTTTAGAAAGATGGGCTGAAGATAACCTTACAGAGTAAGGAGTGAACCAGGATGACCTGACCATCTTTTAGCCTTAGTTTTAAAGGAAAGACAAAAATAAATTTTTAGTGATAACATTTCCCATTTTCATTGTGATGTCATAAATGAATGATGATATTATTGAATTTCCACAAAGAAGTTTTATTTTACTAGTGAGGGGTTCAGGATATGTAATCACATTGATGCCATGCTGTTTATAATGAAAATATAACCCATAGCAAGTGGTTATCCTTGAAAATGATATACTAAATTTGACTATTTTTACTATATATAATTTTTTAAATTATATTTTTCAGTTACAGTTGACATTCAATATTTTATATTAGTTTCAGATGTACAGCATAATGGTTAGACGTTTATATAATTTATGCAGTGATTCCCCTCCGATTAGTCTAGTACACCCCTGGCACTATACACAGTTGTTGCAATATTATTGACTGTATTCTCTATGCTCTTGCTTCCATTGTCATAGATTAAATGACCATATATGGATGGGTTTATTTCTGGGCTCTCTGTTCTGTTCCATTTATCTATGTGTCTATTTTTATGCCAGTACTATGCTGTTTTGATTACTACGTCCTTGTAGTATAATTTGATATCAGGTGGCACGCTACCTCCAGCTTTGTTCTTCTTTCTCAGGATTGCCATGGCCATTTGGGGTCTTTTGTGGTTCCAGACAAATTTTAAGATTATTTTTTCTAGTTCTGTGAAAACTGCCATTGGTATTTTGATGGGGATTTCATTGAATCTATAGATTGCTTTGGGTACTGTGGACATTTTGAGGATGTTAATCTTCCTATCCATGAGCATGGTATATGTTTTCATTTATTTGTATCTTCTTTAGTTTCTTTCTTCTGTGTCTTAAAATTTTCTGAGTACAGGTTTTTTACCTTCTTGGTTAAATTTATTCCTAGGCATTTTGTTTTTTCTGATGCAGTTGTAAATGAGATTGTTTTACTGATTTCTCTTTCTGACAGCTCATTATTGGTGTATAAAAATGCAACTGATTTCTGAATTAGTTTTATATCCTGCTACTTTAGTGAATTCATTTATCAGTTCTAATAGTTTTTTGGTGGAATCTTCTGGGTTCTCTATATGTAGTATCATGTCATCTGTAAATAATGACAGTTTTACTTCTTCCTTTCTAGTTTGGATGCCTTTTATTTCTTTTTCTTGTCTGATTGCTTGGGTAAAACTTCCAATACTATGTTGAATAAAAGCGGTGAAAGTGGTCATCCTTTTCTTGTTCCTGACCTTAAGGAGAATGGTTTTAGCTTTTCCCTGCTGAGTGTGATGTTAGCTGTGGGTTTGTCTTTTATGGCCTCTATTATGTTGAGGTATGTTTCCTCTATTCCCACTTTGCTGAGAGTTTTTATCATATATAGATGCTGGATTTTGTCAGATTTTTTTTCTGTATCTGTTGATATGATCATCTGATTGTTATCTTTCATTTTGTTTATAATAGATTTGCGGATATTGAACCAACCTTGAACACCAGGAATAAATCCCACTTGATAATGGTATACGATCTTTTTTTTTTTTTTTAAGATTTTTATTGGGGAATTGGGAGGATGGGAACAGCGCTGGGGAATTAGGGGAAGGGGAACAGACAAGTTGCTGTCGTTGTGTTCCTCAGTCTAGTTGTGGAGGACGTCGCTTCACTGGCCCAAGTTGGCACCATCATTGCGCTCTTCCCAGGCGAGGCAGATCAGTCGCTGGTTTCTGGATGGCCACTCACTGCGGCCTCTGGCTGCTCACATTGGCTGCTGGCTACACATGGTAGCCCATGGTAACCCACTGCCACAGGGGCTGCAGCCTACGCCGTCACCGGCTACTCACGGCAGCCCAGCTCCAGGTTGAGCTGTTGTTCAGCATCTTAGCTGTGGAGGGCAGTGTCACTGGCCCTCATATGTGGGATCTGAACCGGGGCCCTCTGGTGTCCCAAGCCAGTTCTCAACCATCGCGCCACTCGGCCGGCCCGATCTTTTTAATGTACTGCTGAATTCAATTTGCTAATATTTGTTGAGGATTTTTGCATCTATGTTCATCAAGGATATTGGCTTAAAATTTTTTTTGTGTGTAATGTCTTTGCATGGCTTTGGAATCAGGGTAATGGTGGCCTCATAAAATGAGCTCAGGAGACTTCCCTTCTCTTGAATTTTTTGGAATAATTTGAGAAGGATAGGTGTTAATTCTTTGAATGTTTGGTAAAATTTACCTGTTACTATATATAATTTTAATTAGTAGATAAGGACTCTACACAGCCCAACTTCCTAGGACTTTTGGATGTTTAGACCAAGATAAAATCAAACTGGTGTTTTCTGAGTATTTCTATTTATAAGATAGATTCAAGACATACTCTACCTTTCCACCTCACTAGGACACCAAAAATGAATTAGATTTTTTTATGTTTGTAATTTGTAATTACGTTTGTAATTTGTAATTCACCATAAAACAGTGAATGATTTCATCTCAGATCCTTTTTGGTGAGAGAGGGGTACTAATAAATAAATAAGTTTTCCTGCTGACAGAATTGAACTGGTTCTCCCCCCTTATCAAAAGCCACATAAATGGATACGTAAAAAATCTGTATCTTATATATCATCTTTGTTTCTTCCTCTGTTCTTTATTTTTGTTCAACTGACCTTGGTTTTCATTTTAGAGAATAAACTAGGGACTGAAATCCATCTCTCTGTTAGTAGCTTTTAGGTGAACTTTTAGAACTGGGTGAGGCACTTTTCAAAAGTCTTCACCTTAATTTCATACGACACAAGAACAGAACACTTTGGTGGAGGTCTGTTGGGTGCTTCCCTGCTAGGCACCGTTCTGAGTGATTAGACATTCTTTCCTGAAATAGCCCCATGAGGTGGGGAACTGAGGCAGAAAGAGCTAAGTAACTTGCTCAAAGTCATAGAATAAGAAATGGAGTTTGGAGTGTAATTTGTGAAGTCACAGAACCTTTTTCCTCTTTATTTTAGGATTTTTCATATTATGTAGTAACCCTACCAAACTAGATTAAAAATCTGGATTGAATTTGAAGAGTCCCAGAACAATTAAGGAAATGTTGATTTTAAAATGTGATTCTTAAGCAAAGAACAATAAAATCAGGCAGCATTTGTTGAATGTCAAATTTTTCTGGAGATTATAAATTGTTTTTCCATTAAAAAGTTGCAAATAATTTTCTAAATCTTAGCTATTTTTTTCGTAGACATGTAAGTACTCAGAATGCCACTGGAAAGTAAGCCCTTTATTGTAAAAACAAAACAGAACTTTACAGTTGTTTGAAGATAAAAGATATTTTTTGAGTCACTCTGGAAACAAAGGGACTGCAATTAAAGAAAAACAACTCATGGAAACTTCATTAGAATTTGAAAGGTGTTCTTGGTTCAATTATGATTATTATAAGCACCCAAATATTCATTAGAATACTAGACTCCCTAAAATCTCAGAAGGCTGTGATAGGGTTTGAGGCAATTCAGGTGAAAGTGACAGATACCCGCTGCCATTGAAAGCTAATTTGAAAATGAATATTGGAAGGGTCCTCAGATATTGTAGTCCCCAGTGTTGTTGGTTTTTAAAAATCAGCTTTGTGGGCCGGCCGAGTGGCGCAATGGTTAAGAACTCGCTTGGGATGCCAGAGGACCCCGGTTCGGATCCCACATATGAGGGCCAGTGACACTGCCCTCTACAGCTAAGATGCTGAACAACAGCTCAACCTGGAGCTGGGCTGCCGTGAGTTGCTGGCGATGGCATAGGCTGCAGTCCCTGTGGCAGTGGGTTGCCATGGGCTACCGTATGTAGCCAGCAGCCAGCGTGAGCGGCCAGCAGCCGCAGTGAGCGGCCGTCCAGAAGCCGGCGACTGATCTGCCTCGCCAGGGAAGAGCGCAATGATGGTGCCAACTTGGGCCAGTGAAGCAGCGTCCTCCACAACTAGACTGAAGAACAAAACGACAGCAACTTGTCTGTTCCCCTTCCCCTAATTCCCCAGCACTGTTCCCATCCCCCCAATTACCCAATAAAAATCTAAAAAAAAAAAAAAAAAAAAATCAGCTTTGTGTGTTGCAACCAGCTTTAAAAAAAAAAAAAGTGAAGTAGAATAGACTAGAAAATTCAGAGTGCATTGCCCGTAATAAGGACAACATATTATTTTGAGAAAAAAGTTAGTTATATGAATATATAAGAATTCAGTTATATAATTATATGCTTGTGTGTACTAGCTCATGATCTAAAATGAATTAATTACTTTGTGTCATGCTACAATGTCTGAAAGCTGCTGCTGTACTTTATCCACTTAACTTTATAGATGTAAAAAAAGTGAGGACAAGAAATTACCAACCTTGCCCAAGATTCTCGGTATTTTGG